TGTCAATTGCTAACAGTTATGATCAAGAAACTCTATACTGATCAGTATTTAGTGAAGTATGATATAATAATAATCTTGACTCAAAAAGAAGTGACAGTACCCATCTCTTCTTTCCAATCCTGTCCTGTTGTTTCTGTTGCAAGTTCATGATCATTGTATAACATGAATTAATATTATTGTTTGTGTTTTTAAAATACAATTTATTGAACACACATAATAAAAAAATGATATCCAAGACTAAATACCTTCTCTCAGCTGGAACTGGAAGCCTGGAACCTCCACTTAATATTGCAGTTGATCCAAGCAGAGCTAGATAAAAAAATCGCTCCCTTTTCCCAGTTCTGAGATCTGAGCATGCGCAACCACACCCACATTTTGGAGCACATGTTTCTTTAATTAATAAAATGGCGGAATGAGGTAAGCTGGGCTGGTTGTGATGGAGAGAGGGCAACTTTTTCTTATTGTTAGAGTTATTTAAAAAGTTGTGGACCTGCGCATGGATAGTTGGAGTAGAGTGGTGTAAAAATTAGCCTTGTAGCATTGTTCAAAGACCACGATACCCCTGCTTAACTGATTGACAGAAGATGATGATGATGATGATGAAGATGAAAAAAGGTGGCTGAACAAAACGGCCGGTTCGCCGATTTTTGACTTTCCTCTTAGACAAGGTTTAGAGCTACGCTAGTGGTACCAATGGAGTCCTCTGGTCAAGATAAGATCCTCTATAAAGTCTGGTAAGCATAGGAGCTCGTTTTCCCGGTATAGCAAGGCTGCAAAAGTCGTGGCAGCCATATTGTTTTGGGGTGAATCCTACTTAGTAACGCTACCGCGTTACTAATATTATGTACTGATTATAGGTAATGAATAATGAGTGTCTTGCAGAGGAGATTAAACTAGCTGATGGAGAGGAACAAGAACTGAGGACTTTACTTGATTACAAAGAAGGTGTGATAGTTGATCTATTACTCAATTACTGATGTTACTTATACTAATGGTATAGGATCAATATTTGAACAAGATAAACAACTGAATATCATGAAAAAAAGAAAAGGTATAGTCAATGAATGATGAAGATATTATTTTTACTTGTATAGAGTATATTGAAAGGAGACTAGAGACACCAGGTATAGTACTAACTTAAAGCATGTATTAAAGTAATGTGGAGTTGATAATCATTTGAACAATCAGTACAATTATCTTATAAATTAAAATTCTCATTGTGTCATTACTGTAGAGTCTAAACTGAAAGTGAAGCTACTGACTAGAGGGAAGTTGATAAATAAAATATTTAAATCAAAGAAATCAGAGACTCAGTATTTCCGAACCTCTCTCCTAATGAAAGCAGGTACTGAGTCTACTGGTATAATCTGTCTATACTACCTCATCACAGGAAGAGAGGAGGCATTAGTGGAGTATAAGAAAGAGATTGAGTTACTACTTCAAGCAAATATATCAATAACTAGTGTACAACTGCTGATGAGTGAAAAGGGAAATATTGAGAGTATGTGATATGTTAGTAATTAAATCATTAACTGATTGATATATTGTATAGAGAAGGATCAGTGTACACAATCACTGGATACACCAACAGCAGAATCTATTTACACAGCACGTATTGACTATCATGGAATATGGAGTGATGATCTTTCATTCAGTGAGGGAGAGCAGCTGGAGATTCATAAGAACTAT